ACACCTAATTACGGCAATGCGACATCGGAGGCAGGTGACAAACATCACTATTATTAATGGAGATATATACAAACGAGCCTTCTCGGGACCCTACCTCAAGTGCCTTCCTCCTTTCGAGGAAAATTATGCACTCTGAGAAGTACATTCAAGCATTTGTAAAGAATATATGGGTGGAAGGGCATTAGCCCAAAAAGTCCTGAGATAGGTATTTTACTGGCCAATGATGAAGCATGTCGTGCTAGATCTCATGCGAAAATATAATAGTTATCAATTATATGCCAACCTCACCCATCTAACTATCATAGAGATCTTAACATTATAGAGTCTCTGGCCTTTCACCTAGTGGGGGATTAACTTAGTATGACTCTCTTTTATAACCACAGGTAGTTGGAAGTACATCATCTTGGCTGTAGACTATTTCACAAAGTGGGTGAAGGCGGAACCTCAGGCAAAAATCACCGAAGCAAATGCCAAACAATTCCTATGGAAGAACATAATATGTCATTTTTACATTTCCACAAAAGTTATCACCGATAATGGAATGCAATTCATTGGAAGGATATTTACCACATTTTGCAAAGATCTCCACATTCAGCTAATACACACGGCTATGGCCCATCCTGAAACTAACGGATAAACGGAGGTCACTAATTGAACTATTCTGAAGGGATTTAAGACATGGCTGGAGAAGGCTAGGGGGCAATGGGTTGATGAGCTCCCAAATGTCCTCTAGGCCAATCGTACCACCGCAAGAACTCCAACAAAAGAAACCCCATGCAATCTCTACTTTGGCACAGAAGAAGTTATTTCTGTTGACATTGGAGTCCCAAGTCATAGAGTTCAAACTTTTGACTTCAACAACAACAACAAAAATCTTAGGTACAGTCTAGACCTCTTTCTAGAAGCAAGAGATGACGCGATGCTTAAGGTTACTACATATCACAAGAGAGTTTCCCATTACTATAATCAAAGAATGAAACCATGACGTATATTGATATGAGATCTAGTTCTACGCAGCATCAAGGCAGTAGGAAAAGGCCCTCAACGCAATAAACTTTCCCCTATTTAGGAGGGTCCACACTTAGTAGCAGCTGTGGTGAAACTCGTGACTTTCAAATTGAAGGATGCTGAGGGAAAGATGCTTCTTCGAACATGGAATGTAGACAATCTCCACAAGTACTATTAGTAGAGCACTATAGTGCTATTTGTTTGAAGTATTATAAATCTTTAGTATTGTGTGTCTTCAGTGATGCATGTCTTCGATATTGAACATTATTATTTATGGTATTTTTAGCTTCTTCATCCCTATGTTATCTCAGGGAAGTATGACTTTATTTAATACAAATGACTATATTCCTTCCTTGAGTTATATTATTATCTTCTTCAAGTAAAATTATATTGATAGATTCACAAAAGCTGTGAACTTCAATCTTGAAATTCATGATAAAAGCAACACACAATCATTATTGTAACTCAATCAATGGATGATTAATTCCAGAGGGATTCAATCTGACCTCTTCCATATATGTTAAAAAGTATTAAATAATGTTTTAATTAATAACTTCAGATAGGTTAAACAACTAAAGGAGCATAAAAAAATGCTACTCAATATCTAAAATCTCATTATCCACCAAAATAGCAAAAACCTTATGTAGCTCACTCTCTATCTCATCACCATCAGAGTCTAATGGAAATTCATCTAAATCCTGGCTAGGGGTCATCCCTTTGACTTGAACTTCAGTCTTCTACTGTATCAGGCGAACTCCCTTCAAAAAGCCCCGAATGAATCCATCATCAATACACTGCTGCTCCAAGGCCTTTAATTCTACTTTATAGATATGATCTCGAGCCTCCTCAACGTGATCCTAGAAGATGGTCTTGAAAGCTATGGACTTCTTAAAATATTTAATGACTCTTGAAGGTTCTGAGTCAGCTAGAGCGGCATCCTTCTCAGCTATAAGAATATGTGACATCTTATTTTTTTGTCTCAAGTGATGTTATCTTCTCGTCAGAGGCCTTTCGATCTTTTAAAAGCTCGATGATTATCGCTTGTGCCTCGCCAGATTAATTTAATGCCGATCTTCCTACTAGATTTGAAGAGACACATAGTGCATTGTGTTGGCCAACTTAGTTCTGCACTCGTTCAACTCCCCCTCTAGCACCATCGCCTCCTTGGACTTATGATCGTACTTTCACTTAAACTCTCCTTGAAGATATTTGATCTTAACAAATTCACTATTTCAGTAATTCAAAGCTTCAGTAAGCTCGATCCCAAGGAGCGACAACTGAAATAATAGAGAAAATTATGTCAAAATTTACGAAAGAAAGAAGAAATATTATGAAGATATTACTCACCAGGTCATCGACTTTGCGGTGTCCAATATATTGATGGTTCAAGACATCCCCAGGGACGTGAAACTTGGCAGGGGAAGAGATAGGTAGAGCTTTGTCAGTATTTGTTGCAGTCTCCTCCAACCTCTTCTTCTTTATAACCTAGGGGTATTCACCTCTTGCCGGTCATTTAGGAGCCACCTTTGAAGCTGGGGTAGGGGGGTCAAGAACCATGGAAGATGGCTTCAACATCCTTGCATCAGATCTCCTAGCATGAAATGACAGCCTGAACTTGAATAAGAATTCTTTCTCTGTGTATCTACTCATGAAATGAACCTCGTATAGAAGATGTTGGATGACTGGAACCTTAAGGATCCTCATTATGTCTTCTTCCCCGACATGCAGAGGGGCTGATAGATCCTTCATATTCCCCCACTTCACTATAAGGCCCTAATAATTTTTCACAAAGAAAAATGCACTAGCCTAGCTCTTTGAAGGATCATGGGTACGCAAATCCAACCATTTGGATCTGAATATTATACGCCCATGCATGTCACTAGTAAATTGACCCATCTGGGAAAGGAGCTCAGAGGACCAAGAGAATGAAAAGAGGGGCCTTGGGAGGACCAAGGGAATGCCTCAATTAAAAGAAGAGAAGGAGGGCGTTAGGGGGAGAAGGAGGATCTCCGGTCTTTTTTGCACAAAGAGGGGTATTGGGAGGACCAAGGGAATGTCTTAATTGAAATAAGAGAAGGAGGGCGTTGGGTGGAAAAGGAGGATCTCCGGTCTTTTTTCCACAAAGAGGTGCCTTGGGAGGACCAATGGAATGCCTCAATTGAAAGAAAAGAGGGAGAGGAAGAGGTGCGAATTTTCAAAGCCTAGGGGGGCTATTTATAATTGGAGGAGGGGCATTTTAGTCCCTCATCCAATTATAATTAGCCGATGAGTCACACGGGCACGGACTGTCCAGAAAGTGCGGGTTGCAGGCAGGCTGGAGCTGGCGGGCGTGTAGGCCTCGGACTAGCTGGAGCGTACAGGAGCATGGGCGGCGGCGCGATGGCGGTTGGTGGTGGCCGGCGATGGCAGGTCTGTCCCAACTCATTTAAGGACTGATTTGTGCCCCGAAAAGGCCAAATTGGATATTTTTGAGTCTTTGAAACCGTTTTTCAACATTTCAAACAAAATTTTGACACTTTTAAAGTGATTCGGGACTTCTAAGCCCATAGTCAAAGTACATTCGAATTTCAAATCACCTGAATATTTTCCCATGAGTTACAACACATATTTTTGGACTTGTGGGGATTCGACGTTTGAAAATACGGGGCAACTAATATGTCATCAAAAATTATCTTGATCAAGCACAAATCTCAAAGCAAAATCAAGTTGGAAACTTCCAAAATTAAAGTTAGGAACATCAGAACTTATTTTCAGCAAACTTATAGTCAAACTGAGCGTCTCGAGTATACGAACCCAACGACACCAAATTCTACCTAATTCGAGCCCAAACAAGTCCAAATCAAGGGTTAGAAGTGTTGTTGCAGGGTTCATACCACAATTTGGATTACCAAACGGTTTCCAAACAAAATGTGCTTATAGTCGAATCGAGCGGCTCGACGAGATGAATCTTATAAGCCCTAAATCACTGAATTTCAGCATCAATAAGATGTTCAAATGTCCATCAAATGGCCCATGATCAAGGGTTTAAACATCAATCGTCCTTCCAACCACTCCCCATTTACCCTTGATCTCTCACCTATTTACGGGTCATGCCACTCCAAAAATTGATAAATATACCTCTCATTTCTCTTGAAAAGGGATCAAAGCAAGAAGATAATAAGAGAAGAAGAGAAGAGAAGGACGAGAAGGAAGAGAAGGAAGAAGCTCCTCCTCGACCATCGCCAGAGTTTTGCTCGACCACCGCCGGTGTTTCGCCGGACCACCACCTGAGGCCCTTGCCTTTGCTGGACCAACACCTGAGGCCCTCGCCTTTGCCGGACCACCATCTGAGACCCTCTCCTTCGCTAGACACTACTTGAGGCCCTAAACTCCGCCATACCATCAACTGATGTCAGAGTTATGTAAAGTCACTATCAAATTACTAACTGACGGCCCAACTTTCAAGTAACACCAGACTTCAAACATACAATTGACATTTGTAATCTGATCGCCCTCAAGGACGAGTCAGCTCACTGTACTAAACTCAAATTTTAGTAAAATCTTTTCAACCGGGCTAGGCCCCGTGATTTTTCCCCTTCACAGGGTTTTCCACTTAAAAAATCTGTGTTCTATGTGTATGAGCTGGATATCCGTGCAATGCTAAGACGTAGAATTACAACTCTATCGCCGCGTATATTGTAGCCTGCAACAATCCTAATTATTTCATTCCAAGGAAGAAAAAGATCAATATTAGGCTTAGATCCCTAACGGTTAATCAGATAATGACGATAATTATAATAAAATGGGACACCTCAATATCATCATCAACGCCTCTTTAATTTATTTAATTACCAAAGGACAGCCATTCTAATTCAAAACATAAACTAGTAGGGATTATACCTCCCTGAAAGGCCTCATAAATTTTTTTCCTTAATCGGCTTTCACCTGATACATAATACGGATCCATAAACGTGTAATAATTAAATAAAATGAATAATCAGCTGCAGAAGAACCTGATGGTAGCAGGTGGGGCAGAAAAAGCAGAAGGTCCTGAGCTCCCTATATTCAAATGGGTAGAGCAGGTTGTTGCTGCATGTACATCCAAGCACGGGATAATCAATAATTTATGTCAAGCAGAGGTATCACAAGCTAATCAAATAATTAAATAAATGAGAATGGGAATCCCGTTATACCATTCGGGGCAAAATTTTACTGGATTCATGGCCTCCGCCGCTGCCGTCCGGCTTCAATTCTTCGAATATGCTTTGAGCGAGTGAGTGAGAGAGAGAGAGAGAGAGAGAGAGAGAGAGAGATTCCTGGCCTTAAAAAAGCAAGAGAAGCCTATTCATGCTGGCTAGTCTAATAATCGCCGTAGTTTGAGGGGATCCCTTACCTAGCTAGTTAAAGTGATATATATTAAATTAATCACCGTTAATTTATTGCATTCGACTTGAAAATATATGAACATTTCCATATCAGCATGTGTTGTTATATGGTGAGAGAATAACGATGGCATGCAACAATTAGATTTATTTTTTAAAAATAATTTTTAAAATTTAGAGTTAAGAAATAGCTTATTCATAAACATTCATACCTAAAAATTTAAAGGGAAAATGTATTATGGAGAAAAAAAAAGAAAAAGAAAAAGAAAAAAAAAATGCTGTCAAACAATGCCATCCAAATGGAGATACCAAGAACAATCAATTTTCTTTTTTAGCAGAAATTATTGTGCGGTCACCGAATACCATCTCGAGGAAAATCAGGATGTGCAACATCAATATTTTGTTTTGTGCTGATGTTGTATACCACTGTGTAACGAGTGATGTGGTCCAGCCTTATTCGTCTATAGACGGTTCGGTGACTGTACAAAATAATTTATCCTTATTTAGATGAGTCCATACTTTCTAAAAATATACTCTCAAAAAATATAATTGAAGATCAAGTGTACTCACGGAACTTCACATAATGATTCTTTTTGTTTTTGCCTTAGTATTTCAAAAAATACTTGAAATAGTCTGAACAGACCGTATGAAAATTGCTCTTTGGTCAAATATTACTCAATATAAAGTAAGGTAACACCAAGTTCATCAGAGGTACAGGATGTGGAAGTGCACTATACAGTTGTGGAAGATAGCCATACGATCTAATTTAGAATTTTTAGATTGAATAAACTCCAAAGCAAAATTACCCTCGATCGGAGCAAAGCATTCAAGGGCCATAGCCATACGATCTAATTTAGAATTTAGAAATTACTGTGTAGCATCAACTTCAACTAGCTCATTAGCCATATATGCCATAGTATTGGTAGCAATAGAGGCATTAATCCAAATGGATTTAAAAAGCCATAGAATAGAATATTAAGACAGAAAAGGTGATTTGTAAGATGTTAAAATGAGATCCAAAATAGTGCAATAGAGCATTCATTAATGAAATAGAAATCATGATCCTATTTTGTTAATCCCATAAAAGAGCCCTCAATTATTAATATTTTGTACAAAAATATTGAGTAGTCTTTATGGTCCTATCAAACTTTAAGGAACGTTTTTTGCGAAGCAACCTGTAAATTAGCAGTAAACAGAAATGCAAGATAACAGAGGAAGATAAGAAAGATGGAAACTTTATGAATCTTTCTATTCCATGGTTTCTACAGTAAAGCCATGAGTGTACATATATGAGTAAACGGTTAGGAGATCGCAGGAGATATGCAAGTAATTGGTTAAGCTGTCAATTAGTAAACATGTCCATGTGCTCGAATGATTTCCTGCGATTGGTAGTGGAGCAGAGCTTGATAATTCGGCTGGCTGATATTATAGCTTATTAGTGGTGCTAAGAATCCCTCACAAACTCATGATTCATGTAATTGAATGGTAAGTTTGTTGGGTAGTAGATGAAATCTACTTGTAGACAATGGTTTTGTAAGAATATCAGCCGGTTGATCAAGAGAGTTGATGTGTTGAACTAAAATTTCTTGAGAGAGAATGCGATCCCTGATACAGTGATAATCTATTTCAATATATTTTATTCTTGCATGAAACACCGGGTTGTTTGCCAGGGCAAGAGCAGAGGTGTTGTCACATGAAATTGGCGTTGGGGGAAGAAAGCGAAACATGTAGATCAGCGAGAAGTTGACGTAGCCAGATAATGTCGAAGGTGGCTGAGGCAAGAGAGCGATACTTCGCTTCAATAAAGGATTTTGCTACAATAAGTTGTTTCTTCACACACCATGAGACAAGAGTGTTGTTTAGAAACGTACAGTATCCAGTAATGGATTTTCGATCAGATGTGTATGATGTCCAGTCGGAGTCAAAGAATGATCTCAGTTGGAGATTGCCTGTAGCAATGGGAAGACCGATCTGAAGCGTGCCTTTAATGTAGCGAAGGAGACATTTGAGAATTTGTTGTGCTCGATTAGTCGGTTGGTGCATGTGTTGGCAAACTATATTGGTAGCAAATGTAATGTCTGGCCTTGTAATGGTTAAATATTGTAAGGAGCTTGCTATCTTGCGATATAGAGCTGGATCAAAATTTCATGTAGGAGGAGTTGCCGAAGTCGACTTGATTGCAATGCGAGTTGGAGCAGACTTGCATTGAGAGACTCCAGCGGCTTGAATAATTTCCTGTGCATATTGAGTCTGACTGAGAAAGTAACCATCAGAGGTGTAACTTACCTGGATACCCAGGAAAAATGATATTGGCCTGAGTTCCTTAATAAAAAATTGAGTTTTCAGCTTGTTGATTAAGGTTTGAATGTTATTTGTCTTATTGTATGAGATGAGGATGTCATCTACATATATGAGGATATAGATTTGTGTGTTGTTGTTGGTGTAAATCAGGAGAGAAGGGTCTGACTTGCTGAACCAAAAATCTACTGACATGAAGAAGTTGGTGAGAATTTGGAATCACTGTCTTGGAGCTTATTTGTGACCATAGATGGTCTTGTGAAGTTTGCAAACATAATCTGGGTGAGTGGTATCAGCAAAACCCGGTGGTTGCCTCATATAACCTTCCTCTTGGAGAGTTCCATGGAGAAAGGCATTTGACACAACTAATTGGAGAACTGTCCATTTTATCGTGAGGGCAATAGTGAGTAGTATAAGAATTGTAGGCATTTTGGTTACTAGGCTGAAGGTTTCTTTGGTATTAATGCCATACTATAGCTTGAAGCCTTGAGCTACAAGCCTTGCTTTGTAAAGGTCTATACTGCCATCAGATTTTAGTTTGGTGCGATATGTCCATATGCATCCTAGGACAATATGATGTGACAGAGGTGGTACAAGAGACTATGTTCCCTATTTTTGTAAGGTGATAAATCATCCGAAATTGCCTTTCTCCATTCCAGTATTTTAGCGGCCTGAGTGTAACAGGATGGTGTGGTGGGGGACTGAGTTTTGGCCAAGATATTGAATTGTTGTTTGGGTTTTAAATTGTTAGTTTTGTATCTTTTTAACATTGGATGATGTGGTAGGGGTGGAGTAGGATTAGGTATGGGTGCTACAGTGGTTGGTGTAGGTGGAGTGAGAGATGGTGGGTCGGGTGTGTCAAAAGAGGGTGTGGAAGTGGAGTTGGATGAAGAAATTGGATGAAGTGGTGATGTATTAGAGGTTTGGTTTATGGTAGAGATAGGAATGAGTGTGAGAGGAGTACATTCAGGAGGATAAGGATTTAGTGTGTTGGAGTTATGGGAAGTTAGAGAGGGGAAATTGTTTTCCTAAAAGCTGACATGATGAGAGATATGAATCTTGGAAGTATGCGGATTGAAGAAGTGATAACCTTTATGGGTAGAAGAGTACCCAAGGAATATACAGGCAGCTGAGCGAGGATGAAGTTTGCTTGGAGAAAGTGGATGAAGCCAAGGATAACAGAGACACCCAAAGGTTTTGAGGTGTGTATAGGATGGTTGATAGTCGTGTAGAAGATTGTATGGGTTGTTTAGATGAAGTGTTTTGGAAGGTAATCTGTTGATCAGGAAGTTGGTCGTGAGGAGTGCTTCTAGCCAGAATTTAAGTGGTAGATTGGAGGCATGGAGAAGAGTTCATGTCTTTTCTATGAGGTGATGATGCTTGCGTTCGGTAATTCCATTTTGCTCTGGGGTATATGGACAGCTCATTTGATGTTGAATGTCATGATGATTGAGTAGGTTTTTGAAGTTTTTGGACGTATACTTGCCTCCACCGTCTGATCTAAGGTTTTTAATGTTTGAATTGAATTGAGTTTTAATTAAATGTATGAAATGTTGGAATTTATGAACGGTTTCAGTTTAGTTAACATTGGTTACAACCATGAGAAGCGGGAGAAGTTGTTTATGAAGACGACATTGTAGCTGTAACCATTTAATGATGAAATAGGTGGAGGTCCCCAAATGTCAGCATGAACAAAAACAAAAGGTGCTAAAGTTTTCATTTCATTAATTGAAAATTGTATTTTATGGCTTTTGGCCACATTACACGAGTTACATAGAAAAGTAGAAGTTCTGGAAAGACATATAGTTGGATTTTTGCTAGCTAGAAACTGAAGCAGTTGAATATGTGAGTGGCCTAGTCTTGCATGCCATAGTGAGGTAGAAGACTTGATGGTTTGTAGCACAAAATTTGGTTAAGATTGAAGGATGTAGAGACCGTCCCTTGTGCAACCTCTAAGGAATTTTTGTGAAGTCAGATTGCCCTTGATTGTGAATCCTAGAGAGTCAAAACAAATAGAACAATTATTGTTAGTTGTGAGTTTATGTATTGATAGTAAATTGTGTTTTAGAGTAGGGACATGGAGAAGGTTTTGTAGATGTAGCTTATGTGGACTGTTGGGTAGAGGTAGGAGGCCTTGACCACTAGAATGGATTGGGAGGGAAGTCCCATTGGCGATGGAGATGCTGTCATTGTCGGCATATGGTTGCGGGTTCTACAGATTGGTGGCATCAGATGTCAGGTGAGAAGCGAACCCTGAGTCTAGGTACGATTCAGTTGAAGTATTGGATTGGGCTGATGGTTGGGTAAGCAATGCTCAAGCTTAGGTAGATGGAGAATAATTTAAATTACACCTGTGCCAATAATTCAGGGCAATATGACCTGATTTATCATAAGTCTGACAGGTCGGTCGAGCTATATCAGTGAAGGGATGTGAACAATTATTATTCGATGGTCTTGATGATTATTTGTGTCCACGATAGTTTCCCCTAGATTTGCCAGTTCTTCCGCGTCCTGCATATAAGGTTGTATTGTCTGTAGCCAATGTAGAGTCCCGGTGGAGTTCATTGTTGACATGAATCTCCTCCTTGCACAATAATGGGTAAAGGGTATCCAAGGTGAAGTGCTCTGGAATGGTGCAGATAGTTGTTTTAAAAGAGTTGTAAGCAGGGGTTTGACCATTCAAGATGTGTATAATTATATCTTCTGTGTCTTTGTAAAGTCCTGTCGCTTCTATACTTTCTACGAGCTG